GTATTGTAATTTATTTAACCAATTTCCTATCATAGGACATTTGGATTATTCCAACTTTTCATTATTGATACTGGGACAAACACCTTAGTATGTGGATATCGCTAATTAAACCTGTGCTAGCCAGCTACCATGTCATGAGGTCCCTTGAGCAGCCTATGGAGATGTCCACCTGGCGAGGAAATGAGGCCTCCTGCCAACAGCTGTGTGAGGGAGTCAGTCAAGGCTTCTGATGGTACAGCCCCAGCTCTCATCTCAACTCAGCCTATTGGAGCCTCCAGCCAGAACCACCCAGCTGAGCTGCTCCCAAATTCCTGCCCACAGAAACCGTAAGATAATAGATGTTTATTGTTTTAAGCCACTAAGTTTTGGATCAATGTGTTATGCAATAATATATGGATGTGTATACATGTTACATATAATACATACATATATGTATACATATACATATAATATACATCCATATATATATACACACACACAAGCACATACACTTAAATTAATTCCTAGAAAGACAGAATTAGTGGGTCACAGGATATGATCTTTTCAAATGTTTTAGATACACCTTGTCAAACCACTTTCTAGAAAGACTGCACCAATTTACTCTTACCAGCATGTATGAGAGTGCCCATTTTCAGTATACCTGCCAATGCTTGGTATTATCTGTTTGTTTTTTTAATAAACACTGGAACAGAGGGGAGAAGGTACCTTCACAAGAAGCCAGTTGAACTACACGTTGCTGCAGTGTGTCTTGGAACTTTAGGGAAGACATTCCTGGAGATGGATGCTCAAGAAATTAGGTTGAGGTCTCCCTTCTCTTCTAACCAGCAGGCTTTGCCCTTGGGACAATCCTCGCCTGAACAGGAAATGTTAAGAACTATTTAGAGCAGCCACGGGCAATGCTCAAGGTCGAGCTGAGGATAGCCCTGGACTCCTTGGCCTTGTTCTCCAGGGCCCTTAAATCAACCAAAGCTATTTTGTAAAAACATGCAAGGTGCCTCAGTGCACAACTCATCAGACCCTGGGTGGTATTAAGTAAATCCCCAAGGTGGGACAAAGCAGGACTGAGGGATGGAGGAGAGGCGGGAATCCCCATGTAGAATACTATTGACAAAGAGGGCTGGGCTGCACACAATGTGCTGGCTAAATCCAACCATGGGATTCTTTCTAAAAACATTTCCAAAATTGCCATAAACAGGTAACCACTTTTTGTAAATGCAAAAGAAAGACTTGTTTTCTTACAAAATCAGAACACTGGGTGTCTTGGTGATGGTGGATTATGTTGTGTTGTTTTTTTCTTATGTACCCAAAGCAGCTTCCAAGCAGGTGCCTTGGGTAGTGAGTCAAACGCTGAGAACGTAAGGCACTGTCTTCCTCCCCGCTCACATCCTGCTTTCCCATGGTTGTCTGTGCATCAAATGAGGCTCTGCGTGGAAAGCATAAGATCCACAGTGTGCATGAGAAGGTCTGTGTGTGCTGGCGGGCAGGCAGGGGGAGCCGAGATGGTGAAGGGATGGGAGTAAGTAAACCTGGAATACCTACTGAAGTTTTGCCAACATTAATGCCAACATTAGGTTGGCAATTACACTTCTGAAATCTTTCCAGTGTATTTAAAAAGTCGGCCTGATTCTTCATTGTTTCTTGTCCACATAACCTGTCTCTTTGAAAAAAATTAATACAGCCGAATATAGAGTCCAATAAAACACACATCCTGGAATTACCAAATGCAACCGTTTTGTCATGTTGGCTTCAGATTTATATCAGGAAATACATAAAAATGACTGAGCGGTAAATGCTCTGTGTTCTCCTCCCTGAGGTTGTCTACTTCCCTCCCTCTCAGAGATAAGAACTCTCACGAAGTTGATGTTTTTCCATCTAATTCTTCTTTTATGTTAACACACACACACACATTCATAAACAACACATCTTATTGTTTTGTGAGTTTATACACGTTTGTACTTCTTCAGCTTGCTTTACTCACTCAGCCAGGGCCACAGCTCTGTTGTTCAGGCTGTGCACTGCACAGCTCCTGAGGGCTTCATTCCCACAGACCACTGTGAGAGTGGCTCCTTGGGGATGTGCAGTATGGTGGCCCTGCATTCCACATTCTGTTCTGAGATACATGCTGATGCCTGACAGATCTTGCATTCATTTTAATTACCCTATGGTTTTCATCACACGGCTGTGCCACATTTTATTGATTGATTTCCTTAGGGGAAGTCAGTGTTCTGCTGTTACAAACAGTGCCAGTGGATATGCTTATACTGGTCTTCATATGTACAGGTGCACAAGTTTCTGTGTGGAATCACTATTCTTATTCTGAGGTCACTGTGATTTTAAAAAAATTATTCAACAGAACATACAATAAGAAAAAGACAAACTTGGTAAAGCTTAAGAGATTTATTAGAATGAATCAGTGTGTGTTAAACCAAAAATAACAGATACAATTGGGCGCTGTTGAGAGCAATGCTTTACTATGGAATATAAGGTGGAAAGGTCCTAATTGTCTGCAGCAGCGTCTTCTATATGCGAGAACTGGGTCCAGCCCAGACAGAAGCCCTTTATAAAAACACGAGAAAAAGGAGTTTACACAACAGAGCACTGACATTGGATCACTGGGTCTGGTTTCAACAATGATGGTTAAAAGAGTACACTAGATACCTAACAGGTCTGAGTACAGCTTAGGGCTCTTTCATTTATAAGCCAACTCATTATTCTACTTGCTATGAGCGTTGCTGAGCAATGAGAAGTGGAGTCCCCCAAAAGGAGCTCAATGTCAGCCACCACATGCCATCTTCCTTATCTTAGAGGAGGAAATATTCCCTCAGAAAATAAATTCGGTTCTCATTGGGGCACAGCCCTTTTGTTGGCTAAAGGTTGGTTTTAGGTCTTCAACCTTCTATAGTCTGAAAGGTAACGTCGTATTCAGCCCCCTAATGTACCATTTTCAACTTATAAAATGGCAAGTCAATTATGTAACTACATAAAATGTTTGTGTGACTCCTCTGCCCTCTTAGGGCTTTCCATTGGGAAATTATCCCTATGCGAGCCCCTGCCTACATTCAATAACACACAGTTGTGAGCCAAACGCAGCCAGTGAAATGGAGTACACGTTGGTGTAACAAATATGAAATCATATTTACACACATTCACACACATACCACACATGAAAGGAAAGAAAACAGAGGAAAAGGAGCAAATTTTGGAAAATTATGTGAAGGATGCTACATCACATGAAACTACTTGACAATTTGGAACAATAGTAATTTCCAGGCCTTTACATAATATTACGTGGTTACAGTTCAATTATTAGAACAGCCAGAAAGGAACCTCAAGGCAAAATAAAGGAAGACCAGAGAGCCTTGCTTCGGACAAGGCTGGCGCGTCTATCTTCAGAGAAGACTCTGTGTTTATGCAAACACTCGTGTGCTCAAGGGCCATCTACTCTTTTCACCAGTTGCTCCAAGTAGTGATTACATATATATATTGTCATCTGGCTTGAACAGTTAAGGCCGTACAGAAAGGTAAGAGTGGTTGACACCCTTATGTGCTTCAGAAATAAAACCACGAGCTCATTCATGGGTAGCTCGCTACGTGTGGTTAAGACCAGCTATTTTATGCAAGATGCAACCACTAGAGAGCCAGCCCAGAACTGCAAACGCCACTGGGAAGCGTACTACCTTAGCTAGGCAACCTAGTGGCTGTCTAGAGATAAATCCAGGTTCTCAGGGACAGTGGGATGAGGAAAGGTTCCAAATAAGCCTGCCTGTCACCGGAAAGAGGTCATTTCAATTTGCCACCCAAATTTTTTAACCTTGGGAAGAGGCATGGTAATCACTAGACCTGCACGCAGAATCATGTTTAGTCAGTAACGTTGACAACGTGGAGAAAACCCTAAACACCTGGCCAAGGCCTTGCCAAGACATCCAAATGCCACTTGCTAACAGTTTTTGAGGTACTGTCTGGGAGAGCTAAGAGGCACTCTTGAACCAAAAATACACATTTCCAGCCTTCACAGCCTAAGATTGTCAACTACTCTTGCACACTGGGTTAAGCAGTAAGAACATCAAACCGACAGCAGATTCTTGAGTTAAAAAAGCCTAAATCTGTGATTTCCACTTGTTTTCTTGATTGCAGTCCACATAAAGAAGTGTAAGCTTGGCCCTGGTCTCTCAAGGACTCTTGCTTTTTGTTGATGGCGGACTCAGTGTCTCTACTTGCCATGAGCATGGTGGGCACAGCCGGAGAGGACTCTAGGCACCAGCTCACACTGAGTTACTCAGAGTTCAAGGTCTTTACTCAGCTCGCCATCTCTTTCCTGACTTTTACACTGTAGGTGTTCAATTAATGTTTGCCTGGCCTTGAATGTTCCTGGCAAAGAAGGTACGTTGGGCCTGCTACCACGCTGCATGAGGAACCATTTCTGAGGCTGTTCTTTTGCAGTTTCCTAGCCCCAACAAGAGGCACCGATCCAAACATCCTTTAAGAATCACCTCCCATATGAGCCCTAATAGGAAACCAACTGCTTCTTGATCCCAGGTTTTTACGAAAAGTTGGAATGGTAATCGGATTTGAATTTTCCATGGAAATAGCTTTTCCCCCTTTTCATACCTTCTTTCTCTTTACTTCCATTGGATTCACATATCTTTCATTAATTGAGCAGACAGAGAATCTGAAAAGGAAGGTTTTCTCGAAGCCTATTCTCAGCCAATTTGCACTCCAGGGTTGGACCTCTGGTTAACCCTAAAACTCACCTCCCCAAGCTTGGCATCTTCTAAAATGCTGTCTCCTATTTTATAGTTTTAGGACTCTTAATCTAGAATCTAGAATCTTAAGGTTCCGGTACTTGCTCTGGCTGGCTTTCCTGTAACCTATTATTAATTGGTATTATTAGAAGTTTGCCCTACAATTTAGATTCAAACATCCTCTAGTTAATTTTTCCCCCTAGATATGACACTATGACATATTCTCTTAGTAAAATAATACTCTGTGCATTAAGCTTCTCTAAGAAAGTAGGAATTTGTTACTGTGGAGATGATGCATACCAGGTGGTGTCTGGAATAATGTTTATATCCTACATCTGCCACTGCTTACACAGTAACTATTGAAATGACTCTTCCAAACTAGGCCTCCCAATCCCAAAATTACATGCAATATTTTAGTCAGATTTGATGTGTTTGTTTATATATGACCCAAATTTTAAAAAAATGTTCATCAAGTAAAAGTCAGAGACGTAGGCAATGGTTTCTAACACATCTTTCTCCACTTTTATAATAGCTCAAGTCTACAGCTTGAGTGATAGTCCAATTACACTCCACTGAAAGGTAAATTAAATTAAATTAAATGAGCCTTTCTGTGCAGGCTGGTTAGGTAGCAAAGCAAAGGCACTGAACAAGTTCCTGCAGTCTGGCGAGGGACACAGGAAACCTGAGTGGACTCCACTTTAGAATCTCATACACACAATGAACCAGTAAGACTTCTGTACAAATTTAAGAGTATTTTAAGACTTTTAACAAAAAACTCAACTATACTTATTACCTAACATCTGTTCCCTCCCGTGTGCATTTCATGCACTAAGGCCACTTTGTGGCGGTATGGTGGATTTTTCCAGAGTTTTCTAAAATCCTTTTCCAGGGACATTGCCTGCCCCATTCCCTGCAGGTCTTCTAGGATGCCAAGCCAGCGTGCTCACTCTCTAAATGAGGTGCCAAGCCACTGAGAAGGGGAGGTCCTTCAGCAGTGCACAGCGGGGTGGACCCTGGCCCACGGGTCAGCAGCACGGCCGGGTGCCTGGCATGGATGAATTCAGAACTTTGATTCCTCCATTGTTTCCATTTTCATGGGGGTCCAAAGGTGGGATCTGGCGACCTGGAACAAAAGGGAGGCCAAGGTTGAGTTCCTTTTCCCCAGTCGACACCACATACAGATTGTACCCTGCTTCAACACCTCGGCTAATGTTCTGCTTACACAGAAAGCAGAGGAGCTACAGAGGGCGCTCCTTTTCCCTCCTCCCCTCCTCTGCTCTCTCCTCTCTTCCTCCCTCCCCTCCTCTGCTCTCTCCTCTCTTCCTCCCTCCCTTCCTTCTTTCCTCACTCTGCTGCATGAAGTCAAATCACGTTTAGAAAGTTACAGGAAAGCAAAAGCAGCTTCCTGATAATATGAATTTCCCTGGACTTGGGACCCCTGGCTCCTGAGTACGGGAAAAGTCCCCATCCACCTCCTCAGCACACACGTCAGCCCCTAGTTCCTCCCCAGCCTTTTCACGGATCTGGCCCACTGGAATGAGCTACCTACAGCCCCGGGCGGGGCTTCAACAGTCATCGTGAGTGCTCGTGTTTTCTGCTTCTTAAAACAGAACTGGATTGGGAATTGCAATCTTCTTAGTAATATCATTTATTAACACTTAGCTCCCCACTCTTCATGCTGCCAATGCATTTAGAGCACTATCTGGAAAGCCCTGGGAGGCATTCTTCACGGGAAACAGTATTTCAATGTCATCCACAAGTAATCTTACTTGTATAATTTAATTTAAAAAATTATCCTACAGTCTCTGTAAATACACAAAGTAAAAATTAAAAAGGCAATGGAGGGGGAAAGGGATGTGGTAGCTAAAGGGTATGTGGTTCCTTTATAAGATGATAAAGATATTCTAAAACTGACCTTGCTGATGGTTGCACATATCTGTGAATATACTAAAAACTACTGAATTGTACACTTTAAATTGGTGAAATGCATAGTATGTGAGTTTTATCTCAATAAAGCTGTCTTTAAAAAAGGTAATGGAATCTGGAAATAACCAATATTTGTTTAGAACCTCACAGTTTTCAAAGATTTTCACAGGTACCATCTTCCCTTAATCCTGTGAAGTTGGTGTAATGGCCATTATTATTATCATTTCATTCAGAGGACCTGGGCTCTATGCTGAAGGTCACATCACAGGTGGTTCTTTGATGATAACCTGCATCTTGATTTTCCGACGGATCCCAAAGCCCGTGTTCCTCCCACTCTGCCACATTAGCTCTCTCTGCCACTTTTCTAGCCCCCATGAAAAAGGCATGAAACACCAGCTCTAAAAGAAGGATTTTTTTAAATCAGTGAATTAGTACAATATCAGTTTACTAAGTAACCAGTAATTAGAAATGGAAGGGAAATTAGTTCCACAGACAAAATCCTTCAATGCAAGTGGATGTGACCTAAGGATCATAAAAAGAGTCAAAACACCCTGGTAGAGGTTCATTTTCACAAAGGGCAGAAATAGTTAATTTCAAAGGTATTAATGATCGTGTAGATTGGGTGGTATGGCCACTCATCAAAGCTCAAGCATAAAGACCAAGGTCATTGGCAATTATCCAAAATTCAAAATCAACGGTCGAGCTCTTCCTCTGATTATGGAACAGACGGGAAGGTTGTAACAATGCCGCAGCTGTTGCTGCTACCATTTTGCACAGCCCATAAAGCTGTCCAAAGCTTTCTCTGGCCATTCTCAAAACAATGCAGTCTAATCCAGAAGCAGATGCAAACATAAGTATGTGTTTTCCTCTTCTGGACATGCTGTGCTTTTTTATTAGTTGTAATTAAAAGGAAGTAAACAAAAAGCCTCTTCTACTTTGTGAATCTTAAGTGATAGAGGAGAAAGTTCCAATGACCACCAGTTCTCTGATTTATTCAGATCAGATGATGCCAATCACTTACTCCTCGAGAGAAAGGGATGTATTTTGGAGGCATGATAGTGTCAAGTTATATCATTATTTAAATTATTTAAAATAATAATATTTCAGGTGCCTCCTGAGCACGTGAGGTGCTACAATAGAAGCAAAATGCTTTTCCATCTGAAATATTTTTGGACAAAATTATAATTCTGATTGGTGCAAGCTGCTGCCCTGGTTAACTAAGACAGTCTTGTTTACTGATCAGTATTTCTGACAATGTCAAAATCAATATCCTACACTAACATCAACTTCATGCTATTCTGATGCTGTTAACTCTAAAGTTAGCAAGACAGCAGCACGCTTTCAGCCGTCCTATACATGACTTATGCTACATGCCTCGCGTCATAAGTTTCCATAAGTCTTTTCCCCATAAAAAGTACCCCAAATATAGAAAAAGCTTATATACAAGATATTCATTGAAGTCACAAAAGTAGAGTGAAAATCTAGCGACAAAGAGCATATAGAAAGCAAAATAGCAATGCTAGGGCAGCCCCAGCACCCTGCCTTGCTCTCCCCTCTTCCTCCCTCTTTTCTGCTCCTCACCCCTCTCCCCAGTAGACAAAAAGGAGACAATATCTGGGGTGCAAGATTAAGTGAGACCCAAGTCACACCTCAGGGAGACTCCTTCTTATTTGTTTTAAACTGTTAGCAACGATTTTTAATCGTTGAGCTTGGCTTCTTAGAGGCAGCAGGTTCTGTTTCTCTTCAGAATGTTCAAAACCTCACTTATTTAAAGACAGAATTATTGCAGTTCCCTCAGACTTTGTTTTTCTCATCTGGTAGAAAAAGTTTGGGATCTGAGAGTCAGTGTCCCAGTTAAGCAAACTTGGACAAGTTATTTAATATCTCCAAGATTTTCTTTCTTCACCTATAAAAAGAATATGAGAAAGTAACTTGATAACTACTACACAATATAGATATACGGCTATCACTAACATGCAAGAAACTCATGACAAGGCATGAAGTCCCCAGTAGTCTCAGGGTTCTGGGCGCAGCTCAAGTGGAGTTTGCACGGGGAGAAACCTCTGCCTAGTGGCTCACCACGGTGGATGCTCAGGGTTCAGCTACTAAGATCAGGACCCATCCTGCTCTTCACAAAACACTCAACCTGGGAGGCGTCCCACACATTCCAACTTCAAACAGTGAGAAGATAGGAAGTGCTTACACTTTAAGGCAGAGAGAGAGGAAAGCCAGGTCATAACAGTGAGGCAAGCACCTTAAGAAGAGAAGGAAGCCAGCAGTGCTGTGAAAATACAACAAGGACCTGAGTTATTTGGGACTTACCAAAAGGTTAAATGTACTTAGACAAAAGAATAGTTCTGGACAATGGCCATAGCGTTTTGTGCGAAGGGGATCACCGTAGAACACTGTTGAATCAGTATTAATTACATAGGCACAGAATAGGACAAATATATATATATACACAAACATCTGAAAGGCTCTGAGTATCATCTGCATGTTTCTGCTCTTACAAAATGTCCTCTGAGGAGGCAATCTCCACAAGTCATCCTGGAGTATAAATCCTGGGCCAGGGTGTTTATTTTAATAAGCTTTGGATTGTGTAAGATTCTGCTTGGGAAAAGTTAAGACTCTTTTTTGAAGTTCAGTTTTCCTAAAAGTTGACAGCCTAGAGAAAAAGCATGTTTTACAAATGATTCCTCAGGAATTCTGTGAAAAACAAATTCCAAGCCTATAAATTTTATCATGGCTCTGGACGGAGGTTGTAATGCTTTTACACACAACAAAAATAAACAGCATGCTTAGCTGCAGCTGTCGTCTTTCTTTGTGTCGTGGACCGGGCATTTCCTGCGTGAGCTCAGAGTCCTCCCTGACAATTTTGCTGTTTATATTCTTCTCTCCTTTTATTCCAGTTCCAGTATTTACTTTGCTCCGCCATCTTTTGTTGGGTGTTAGAGGTGCTGGTAGTTGCTGGGTAACTTCCATTTCTTGATCTTGATTTTCTGAATCATCCAGATTAGTAAACCGATCAAGTTTACTAGGACTTGGCACTATTTACTCTTTTTTTTTTTTTTTTTTTTTTTTAAGATTTTATTTATTTATTTTTTCCCCCCAAAGCCCCAGTAGATAGTTGTGTGTCATGGCTGCACATCCTTCTAGTTGCTGTATGTGGGACGCGGCCTCAGCATGGCCGGAGAAGCAGTGCGCCGGTGGGAGCCCGGGATCCGAACTCGGGTCGCCAGCAGTGGAGCGCACTCACTTAACCACCAAGCCACGGGGCCGGCCAGCACTATTTACTCTTAATAATGACCTTCAAGCCTCTCCATTTAGAAAGGGTGTCTCTATGGAATACTGCAGTGGCTCACAATCATGGAACTTTGCCCTCAGAATACAGAATGGGACCAGGGGAGACACACATGACATTTGAAGCCGTTCTCTGAACTTTTGCTGCCAAAGAGAAGACAATATTGGAATTACTAGATGATCTTGGATATTAAAGAGTCGAGATTTGAGGAATAAGCTAACATTCTACATTGGACCCAAATGGCTTAGGAGACAGGAAGTAAATTTAGTCAGGTGGCTTGCAGAAAGTCCAAGTCAGGGAAAACGAGAGCCTTAACTTGGGTGCAGTGGAGAGAAGTAGCAAACAAAGATGGACAGAGAACTACAGGAAGACACCTGGCAGGACGTGACAACTGATTGGAAGCAGGGGTGTGTGTGTGTGTGTGTGTGTGTGTGTGTGTGTGTGTCTGTGAAGAGAGGGATAAAGAAAACTGAAGTTCAAAGTCTAGGGAGCTGAAGGAATGGTGATGCTCCAACAGCGACGGAAATAAGGGGAAGGTCACCATTGTCTATTAGTCCAAGATGCCAGATGTCTTCAACATAGAGGGGCTTAAGCTACCCTAAAATCATTATGCTTCTTTATGATTCAAAAGCATTTTTTCTTTTTATTTATTTATTTTTAATTAATAGACTTATTTGGGGGGGCAGTTTTAGGTTTACAGAAAAAATTGAGCATAAATTACAGAGAATTCCCATATACTTCTCCCCTTCATCCTCAATTTCCCCTATTTTAACAACTTGTGTGAGTGTGGAACATTTATTACAATTGATGAGCCATTATTGACCATTATTAACTAAAGTCCATAGTTCACATTAGGGTTCATTCTTAATGTGGTACATGCTATGAGTTTTGATAAT